TATGGCAGACGACTTCGGACTAGGTGCGTTCTACCAAGTCACCCTGACAACAAGACCAAGTTGCGACAACAAGGTCAACCCATTTCTATAAATCGAAAAGAGACTGCGACAATACCAGAGGCCACAACATCTTGGTCTTCATATCTTCAATTAAATAGCTTATGCCTCTCATTGTAGAAGTTTCTACTAATTTCTTGATAGAGGCATGATAATGTGTCTCATTATCTGTGTCAGAATGGCACTTCTCCATTATGTTGCAGACCCAAGGAGCTATATCATAATTTTTGCAAAAATCTAAAAAGGTCAAATTGCGTGATAAACTTATAATTGTCTTATTTGTCTGGCTGTAATCAATGCAGTGTTTAACAATCATACTTCTATAGTTCAATCGAAGATAGGAAGACCAACATCAGAAGTTTAGTAAATTATCACAGGGTGCTGACTTCAGCGGGGCTGCCACATAAGGATAATATCTCATAACAGAGTTACATTGATCCACAAGGTTTGTTATGGATCATTTCATTTCCTATGAAGGTACATGAAAAAGTGATTTAAAAGTCGATCTCACCCTAAGACGATGGCTGATTCCCGTTGCACTGGAGCCATTTGGCTTTAATGCGACGTTCAGGTTGACATAATCCACAAGGCATCCTCCCTTTTTTTGAATAACAACGTACTGAGCTTTCGTCCATCATATGATGGAAATTATCAGAGCCATAGCTCATTCTTGCAAAAGTCTCACCTTGACACTTTTTTTGTCTTATTGAACAAGTGTTAACATAAGGCTTTCGCAAGAACGAGTTCTAACTCTGATGATGTCAATCATATGATGGATGAAGGCTCAACCCGTTTTCACCCGAAGCAAGGGACAATGTCTCATGGACTACGTGAACCTGAACGTCATAGTAAATTCAAATGGCTGCAGTGCAACTGGAATCAGCCATCGTCTTAAGATGAGATCGACCTTCGCATCTCTTCTTTATGCAATTTCATACGAAAGGAAAGTCTCCTCAACAATGTTATCTCAGAAGATTCATCGAAGCCCGGTCACTCTTCGTATCAACAAGTTTTATTTTCTCTTTAAGGATAACAAGCGTCGTCATAGCTGTAGTCTCAATGGGTAGGTTGATATAGTATGATTTCACGAAAATGAAAATAAATTGCTACCAGTCGTTGCGTATCACAAAGAATCTATTTAAAATGGGCCTGTTATTAATTTTGCGAGGGAAGGGAAACCAGAGTCGCCTCATCACAATTCTTGTGTCAAAATCAGATTTTCATTCTTCGAGAAATCCAATTCCTCTAGAAATTACCAAAGTAGACGTCCTCCACATCAGTTGTACGAACTTTGCTATTAAATTACTTCCCCAAATTTGGGTATTTTTCCTCTTACAGTCTAATTACCACCGAAAGAGAAGAGAATAGGCTAGATAGTTTAGTGTCACTCACATAGAATAATAGGATATTCAATCGTGTTTTGTCCAGATACCCGGTCTGTTCTCCTATCAACGAGCACAATGTTATTACGATTGGTAAATAATCATCAGACACAATCAATCCTTTACTTAATCGAGGTAATTTTATCACTTTAGTTGCTACCTACACTTTTTATTAATATGAGAATGCAAACTAAATGCAAGAATTCTTAAGTGGCCCTTTATTTACAGTCAACTTTTGGATTTAGCATTTGAATGAGTTCAGCAGACTGCAAATTTCTTATCCATTCACATAAAGTGATGAATTTTGCCACATTTATGTGGGTATATCTAATTTCCGTTGAAGTTTACTTAGCTTTGCTTTCTAAAAGGTATTTTCATCCAGGATTTGTCCAGAACTTGATGGGCATGCCATAGGGCAGGAGGCCACCAGCAACCTCGGCCTAAATATTTCATCAGTCTGCTAGCTTTTAAGTTCCGCCTCTTGATATCCCTAAGGTAGTCATTTCGGTAGCTTAATTCCGTATTAGTAAACAGGAATACTTAGAAAATGAGTTTTCGCTCAGATACTGCTTCGATTCAATGGTCTTGAAAACGTTAGGCGCATGCCTTTGTGGAAGAGTGACCTTAGTTGCTTCATTTTAATTCATTGACTTATTCTTATCCATATCCTTCTTTATATCATACATCGCTACATTACTCTAGCTGCGGCTTCGAGGTTGGTGACCAAATACTGGCTATAGATGGCGTGCCCCTGGATCAAAAGTCTCTTAATTTTGTTCGAGCTGATTGTCAGCCCTCTGAAGCAGCTAATCTCAGCCTTCTTGATCTCGCCAGATTTTGTCTTCATCCGTTAATCAGGACTAATGATCCGCTATCCACGTGTTCAACCGCTTCTCGCCAAGGCGACTATGACCAATCTGCTAGCTTTTCAGAAGACCGTGCTCGTAGCTCCAAACTGGGTAGGCAAGCCGTTTTCAGAGTGCCAGAGTTGCCGAGTCGGTCGCGCACTTTCTCTTGCACCACAAATCGAACCATCTCTGCATCCTACATTACTCGAGTCAGTGAGTCCGATGAAACCAATCGTCTAGCTCCTCTACCCTTCTCTCGGCGTATCTGCCATTCCATATCACCAAGCGGTCATCGTGGCTATCGCTATTATTCTCAACATACAAGATCACCTCAGGAGAGGCTATTTACCGACTGTGTGGACATTATGGTTGCTCGCAGGCCCGGCCAGAATGAGTTGATCGCCCAGTTTATGGAAGAATTGGGGCGCGACGCAATGCTTACAACTGCTGTCCACAGTTCACCAGCGCGCCAGATTCGTCTCAATTCCACGGGTGCCGAAGTCGACAAGAGCGGTGTATATGAGGAAAGAAATGTTGACACAGCGGCAGGGAAAGATTTGCCGGAAGCAACTAAGAGCTTAAAAGTGAGATCCTTTACAGAGTGGGCTCATCTTTCATCTGCTCACTGACTGTGCCAAAATAACATATTAAGCCGTTTTATTTTGAGTTTTGTTCATATTTTATTCCATTCGATAACCATAGTTCTTGACCAAGTTACTCTTTAAGCGATTTTATTTGATTTTTATAGTATATCCTGCATTCTGACTGGCATGCAGAATGTTTTGGTGGGAGCTATGACCAATCCCGCTTCATGCTCAAGGAAGAAGAAATTATACGAACAATTTTACTAAACAGCATTGTGGACCTAAAATATGAGAGCATTCTGAGTGCAATTCTTGTAATACTAGCAGGTGAACTTCACAATCTGCAGGGCATATTTCGTGATCATTTATCACTTATACTGAAAATATTGTGCGTCGTATGCACTGGTAAAACACCTATTTAAGAGCTGTAGTTGCGACAAATATTGTTAAATGAAAATACTGATATGCATAAATGTTACACTTTGTTGTGAGGTGAAATAACACATGCATAGTAGCTAGTGGTGTGACCTTAGGCGTTGTCCCTGTCTTCGAGCTGTATAATGCTAGTTTGACCTCATTTCCGCTATTTTGTCGGAACGACAGGAAGCTCTTATGGAATATATCTAGTCCTGCCTCCTCTGTCACAGTATTCCTGATGATATACAACATCGGACCGATGACTTGGTACATTACCAGATATTTTCCAGGCGTCGTAGTTGTCATTTGGATAAGTTGCAACTCTGCTAGGGACAAAGCCTATCATTGACGATGCCGTATCGATATCGGTGAAACGTCTAGATATATACCAATTCAACGGTCTGATCTTGGTAGCTATGAAAACGAGGTCAAACCAACTCCATCACATAAATAGTTTAACCTCCGTTTATCTGAGCATAATGTTTTCAGTCTATATTGTCTATGATGTTTTTATTAATTACTCTTGATATCGAACTTCCTTGGCTCTTATCACTGAAAACTTTGCTTTGGCTACTCTGTGAAATATCAACGGATATGAATATATCAGGTGGTAAGCCTTTTTAAAGTTCTCTAAGAGGGCCTGCTTATCAATATACTAACTCTGATAGTTGCGCAGAATCATAGATAAAAATAAATGTAAGCTCGCAGAATGCATTGCGGGTGGACCACATAATCGAATAAAATGGAACAAAACAAGTGGCGGCTCTTATACTGAAAGATTGGATATAAGAAATATCGTTATATCTTGAATAAAAATTTTAGATGATATTAGGACTTAGTTGAATTTGCTGCATTAATAGAAGTAGGTCTCGTGTTACCATGTAATTTCATCTAGCCTTGCCCCCCTTAAAGATCTTCTTATCTAGGTTGGAAGGCAGTTTCTATTTCGCTTAGGTCACATCGGAATCCTTGATACATGTTGAAATAGGATCGTAAAGGGTTATGTGTAAATTACCCGAAAGGAAAGATCGGGGGCGAGGTTTACATCTTGGTCTAAAAAATTAATGAGAGGTGTGAAGAGAGAAGAATTAGCCGAATCTTTGCGTAGAAATTGGTAAAATTGGCAAAAGAGGTATCTCGACTAAGAACATAAGCTACGTTGTAGGAAGATCTATCACGAAGGATACCTTTGGAGAGGATGGATAAATTAAAATAAGACGGATTCAGTAAATTGATTCAAATTTAGAGCATGAGCCAACATTTCCTTAGAATGCCCCACGATAGTCTTAATTGAAATTTACTTATGGCGGAATGAAGGGCTGCACCTTGTGTTGTTTCTTGCTTCGCGAAGTATGATTAGGTAGTAATCTTTTATCAACTTCTACCTTTAATTTTTTTTGGATTTGACATTCCTCACTTGTGTGTGTGGCGAGTCGAATG